TCCTGAGTGCCTTCTGTGTGCTGGGTCTATGCTGAGTACAGGAGACAGGGCAGTGAGGAAGGAAAAAAGTGGTCCTGTTCTCACAAAGTTTATCCTCTCACGAGCAAAGCACACACTACACAACAGAGATGAAAATCCCAAAGGAACAACAGCAGAACCTGATTGTGGTGGTTGTTATGTGATGCTGCCAAGTACGACTCAGAGAGACCCTCTGAACAACAGATCTGAACCCTGTCCTATCCTGTGCCGTCCTCAGCATCTCTGACACACCTGAGTGCTGCTGTCACCTTGTCAATCCACCTGGTTGAGGGTCTTTCTTTCGTCATACCCCCACCTTCCCAATCATGATGTCCTTCCCCAAGGAACGGCCTCTCCTAGCAACATGCTCGAAATATGTGAGATGAAGTTTCACCATCCTTGTCTCCAGGAAGCACTCTGGCTGCACTTTTCCAAGGCCTATCTGTTTGATTTTTTTTTTTTCAGTCCTTGGGATATTCAGTGTTCTTCTCCAACACCACAGCTCAAAGGCATTGATTCTTCTTCTGTCATCCTTATTCAACATCCAGCTCTCAGAGAATAGCAAGCGATCTAAAGGATTATGGCCTCAATCAGGCACATCTTAGTCCTCAAACTAATACTATTGCTCCTCAGTAATCGGAAGCAAAGTTCTGACAGCAGACCTGCCCAAAGCAGTATGTCTCCTGATCTCCTTCCTGACTGCTGGTATCAAGGGTATTAATTGTGGATCCAAGTAAGGTCAAATTATTGACTATTTCTATCTTTTCTTCATCTATATTGATGTCACCTATCAGTCCAGTGGTGTGAATTTTGGGCTTCTTGATGTTAAGATGTCATCTTATGATAAAAAGGTGTATTCTTTGATTCTCTGCAGTATGTGTTTTAAGTCCTCACTTTCAGCAAGCAAGGCATACACTGGCCGTTGATGAGTCATCCTCCAATCCTGACACCACATTCCTTTTCATAAAGTCCAGTTTCACAGATGATTTGCCCAGCACAGAGATTGAATAGGCATGGAGAGAGGATATAACGTTGGTGTCTGCAGAAGCTGACAGAGACTATAAAGTAAAACCAGCCCCAACCCTTACAACTGCATGTGTGTCAGGGAAGAGCTGTGTGCCATACGGTTGTTTCAATGGCTCAGAATTTTCCAGAATTAGACTGCCAGGCCTTTTTCCAAAGCACCCTTGGACAGATTAAAATCCCCAGCCCTTCTGTGGACAGTCAGGTACAGGAATTGTTTGTATCGCCTAGATCCAGAAGTCAGTGAGCACGGCCCCGAGCTGATTTTAACTCACAGGGACCCCACGGAGCAGGGAAAGGAACTCTACAGCAGTCCCAAAACTGTGTGTTTTTTTAAACTTTTTTATTATTATTGGAGGGCGCTCTGGTGACCTAGCGGTTAAGAATCTGTGCTGCAATTCTAAGGAACACAGTTCAAATCTACCAACTGCTCCGCGGGAGAAGAATGGGCCATCTCCTCTCGTGCAATTAACTGCCTCTGTAAACCCGCTAGAAGGTCAAGCTACAGGTCAGTTCTGACTCCGATGGAACACAGCAACAACAACAACAACAACATTATTATTATTTGAATGGACGTTTACAGAGCAAATCAGTTTTCCATGTAACAATTCATACACATTTTATTGCCCTACACTGACTGCAATCCCTGTAATCTTAACAGCACTCTACCCACTTCCTCTCTGTATTTCCCATTTCTGTTGATCCTTCTTTCCTATCCCTTTCTAACTTCTGAGCTTTATCTTTGGGTAAATGGTGCCCTTTGGATCTTAGATGATCTTGATTGTTCTAAGGAGTGTGTTCCTCTCTGGTGTTACGGGGGTTTTTTTCCCCCTAAAACTAGACTGCCTCATCATTCTCCCTTGGAGCAGCTAATGTGTTCAAAATGCCAACCTTTCAGCAAGTGGCCGGATTCCTTAACCATTTTGCCACCAGGGCCCCTGTAGGGAAAACCCCTCACTGCCACTGAATCAGAACCAGCTCACAGTTGACCCTCTGCTGGGTTTTCAGAAGCTGTAAACACATGGCAGGAGATTATCCATCTTTCTTCCTTGGAGCAGCTAGTGTCTTTGGGCTGGCAGGGCTACCAGGGCTCCAACAGAGAGAACTGAAATAGGTGGTGTGACAGAGGGGCTGCGAGTCAGGGATGCCCTTCCAGAGGCAGCGTGGGTGAGATGCGGATTGCAGGGCTGGGAAGAGCAGGGTTCCCTCAGGAGCCCTAACAGGAAACACATACTCTAAGCAAAGACACTGGCCATGGTGGGGGACCCCCCGCCTCAACAAAAAAGAGCATAAGCCCGGCGGGTCCAGGAGGCACAAGGCCGGTGGGCTGAGGCAGGGTGGCTGGGGGGGCGGCAGGAGAGAGGCACTGGCTGAAGCTGCCAGGCTATTCCACGTCAGGTGAAGAGGCTGGATCCACTCTGCGCACCCTGGGGGAGCGACAGGGCTTAAGGATCAACTACTGTCCTCCTGGGAAAGGCCACCTTAGCAGCCATGCAGACTGGGATTAGGCAAGACAGGAGCCCAGACAAGGGTGACTGCTGTCCCCAAGAAACTGTGGCACTGGGGGCTGGGAATCAAGGACTCTTCTCCCTGGCTGAGCCTGCACTGCCTCTGGTGAGGATAGGACAGGATAGGTGACAGGCTGGGGAGTTCCCCCCCATTTGTGTTTTTCCACTTTCCTGAAGCAGCAAGTCATAACTTGGGTGCCAGGCAGATTTCAAACTCCCAGGGTGACTTCTGTGAACTTGGAGTTGGGAAGGGCTGCTGGCAATGATCATGTTAGTGCCGACAGGAGAGCTTTCCTGGGGAAGGGGTACCAGGTACAGAGGCCACGGGTGGGGAGGGAGAGTGGGTAATTCAAGATCTGAGAGGAGAAGGCCCCTTAGGGAGCCTGGAGAGCTAAGAAAGGGGGGAAAGTTAGGGGCCTGGGACAGGCTGACAAGGCTTCATAGGCAGCTAGAAATCTGGTAGGGGTTTTGTATGTGGTGACAGGATGGGATAAGAGTCAATGTACACTTTGAAAAGATGAGAGGGGTCCCTAGAAGAAGGGGAGACCTCAGTAAGTGGCCTGCAGTAGTCATGAGAGCTGAGAACAGGGCACAGGGAATTGAAGACAGAGATAGAGTGGGAGCGAGCAAGAGAGAGAGCAAGGAGAGTGAAGAGAGTGAGGAGAGAGTGTGCGTCATGAGAGGGGGCAGAAGGACTGTCCACAGAGCAGGACAGGAGGTAGGTGCCAGAGAGCCAGGGTTCAGAGCCAGGTTTGGGTGTGCTGTGAGGATGACCTGAGAAGAAACCATGGAGAAGCACCCAGAGCTGGGGCAGCAGGAAGGGGCAGAAATGAGGAAGCAGCAGGGAATTCCTGGTTTCTGGAGTGCACAGGCGCTGGAGTCGGGGTGTGCCCCTTCCTACTCACCTGTGTGGGATGGGCTTGCTTGCACTGCGTCAGCTTCTTGAAGGGCGTTCTCTGCTGAATGAGCAAAGAAAGCTCTCTTCCTGAAGGAGAGAGAGTTGTTCTTAGTTCCTTCTTGCCATGGGGTGACAATCGTGGACCAGGCGCTTCCCCAGGGGAATGCTCCCACTGTGAGGATTGGTCCCCACTCCGCCCAGGCCAGGGACGCCAGCAAGGGCAGCTGAGGAGCTGAGGACCAGCCTCAGCCACATCCACTGGGACCTCCCCCTTCACCTCCACACCACCTGCTTGGTGACCTTGGGCAAGTTACCTCACCTCTCTGATTTAGTCTCTGGCTCCCGTTAAAGGAGGCTGAATAACCTCTACTTCATAAGGGTGAGTCCATTAAAGACACAGAGAAGCAGAGCCCAATAAACATTAACCCCAACAAGGGGTGGGGGGTGGGGGGGAAACTGGTTTTTGTTCCCCTTTTTAAAAGCCCTGCAAACTGAAATGAATAAATGTTAAATTCCCACATCACCCTACTGCTGGACCCCGAATAATCGTGTAGGACAGAGTAGAACCATCCCACAGTCTTTCCCAGGGTGCTATCCCCTCATCTCTTTCCAGCAGACCTGATGGTGAGTTCAAACTGCTGATCTTTCAGCCAGCAGACAAGTGCCTTAACCACGGTGCCACCCAAGCTCCTCACCTAAAAAGTACAGCCTTAGAAATCCCACGGGCAGCTCTGTTCTGTCCCGCAGGGTCCCTTATGCACTGTGCAACTTGCAGATGCATAGGGGACAACTGGAAGTATGATGACTGGGATCCGGAATGTCTGAAGTCTTTAAACTGACATTCTTGCTCTTTGGCACTTGAAAGCAGGCATCCTCAACAGCAGAATCTGACACCTGCTATTATCATTCCACCACCTACATCCCAACCATTATGGGGTGTGGCCTCTATCTGCAGGTAGCTCTGGCTATGCAGGCCACAGGGAGTTAAGGGGCCAGCCCGGAGGTGGTGCCTCTCTGGTAGTTCAAGTCCACCAACGGCTCTGAGTGGGAGTGATGCACAATCTCCTCCGAGATTTACAGCCGCCAAAAGGCCCCTGGAGGGTCAGGTACGTGTTGGTTCCTGATGATTCCGTCATGGTAACGACTTTCTCCTTCTGTCTTTACCTACACCTCATGTTGTTGTTGTCATGTGCCATCAACTCAACCATGACTCATAGTGATCCCAAGGGCAATGGCTCTGAACTGTGCTCTATCCTTAGCCAATGTCACTGTCTCAGACACACCTGACGCCATTGCCACAATCACCGTGTCAATCCGTCTCATCCCGGGTCTCCTTCTTCTGCGCTGACCCTCCACCCGCCTGAGCATGCTGCCCTTCTCCCAGGGCCTACACCTCATAAACACTGACATTTCCATCATCCTGGTGGCTATGCCAGGGCATGAGTGAAAGAACCCAGCCTGGGGATGTACCGAGGAAGCCCTTCCCTGCCTCAACCAGGTGGTGCTTGGATGGGATAGTGGGAAAGGGAACAGGAATCAATACTAAGCCTTACCCTTTACCAGATTTTTTCTCTTTGACATTAATTTTTCTCTCCGGAATCTCTCTGGATCCAGTTCTGAGTAGTCCCAGTTGATATAGCTTTGTGGTAAAGGATATACACCTGAGACAGAGTAAAAACGGATAGTGAATACTTGTGCAAAAGGAAACAGAGGCAGAAAATTCAGCAAAGAAGGGGGCCAAGGGCTCTGAGCTACCCCATGCTGGTGCCAGAGAGGATGAAGGGGCTGCAGTATTAGATCAGCCCTGCACTGGCCTTGAAGCCATGCACGAGCGACCTCCTCTCTTCAGGGCTCCAGTGTTTCCATCTGGCAAGTGAGAACAAGACCTGCCTGCCCACCTGTGCCACAAAGACAGGAAAACCCACAGCAAGTAAGTCTTTTCTGACTGGCATGGCACAGTGGGCTAAACAATCAGCTGTGATCAATCAAAAGACCAGTCATTTGAACACATGAGCTATTTATGAGGAGAAAGATGCGGCTGGCTGCTCCCCTAGAGATGTACAGCCTTGTAAAGTTCCTACTCTGTCCTACGAGGCAGCGACGAGTTGGGCAAATGTGAAGGCACTCTAAGTGTTTCCCTGTCCACCAAGCTGTGAACTCCCTGTGGGCACAGGCTGAAGCTTAGTCATCTATATTATCGTCAGTGTTTGATCTAGGACATGGCACATGATAAACGGGTGCTTTGCAAATGCTTCTACTAGATTCATCTAGGCGCCTGAAAGGGGCTCCCCTTAACCATGTGATGATGCGTATTTTCCTTTTAAGGAAACTGTGTTGTTTCCAAGTCCTGACTCCTTGCAATCTGGACCCTCAGATATTAGGGGTTCACTTCTTTGCCCCTCACTTCTTTTCTCTAGGAAGGAAAAGACTGAGGCTTCCCTGATAAGCTTTAGCTGATGACCAAATTTGCTGTCCTCACTGGACAAAGCAAGTGGACAAGAGGTTTATTACTGAAGAAACGTAGGAGGTTCTGCTTTGAACAAAAAGAGGGAAGAGAGGATGTGAGGCAGGTGTTGTGAATCCTCACATCTGTGTGAATGAGCAAAGATCAGAAACAGTTATCATAATGAAGCAGCGTGAAATGTACAGGATGAGGCTCACTCTTGAGTCAAATTCTTTCCATAATATACAAGAACTTTAAAAAGAGAACAGAGGTCAGTGAGACTTGGGTACCATCAAAGAAGAGGAGCCAGGAGCAGAGTTATGCTTTGGATCTGGTGTCCCTGTGCTGAGAAACTCCTAGCCCGAGGGAAGACTGATGCTAAGACACATGTAAATTTCCAAGGAACACAAAGCCCACACATGTTGAAAGGAAGCAAGGACCCTCCCCAGGAGATGACAGAGAAAGAAAGCCTTCTTCTACTGCTGGCACTTGAATTTCGACATCTAGCCTCCAAAACTGGGAGAAAATAAATTTGTTAAAAGTCACCACTTGTGATTATTTCTGTTATAGCAGTACTAGATAGCTCAAGACAGACTGCCCTAGACTTAACATCTACTCTCTGATTTAATTTGTGATAGCTCCACCTTCAGAAAATTCGTGGTGGAAGACCAAAGATTGATACGCTTCACAGTGAAACCTGTGTATTGCTGAAATATCACTTGCTGAAAGTGAAGAGGACCTGAAACACCTGCTGTAGAAGGTTAAATACTGTAACCTTTAATATGGATTGCAACTCAAAGTCAAGAAACAAAAATCCTCACCACTGGACCAACAGGCAACATCATGCTGGACAGAGAAAGGATTGCGTATTGTGTATTGAGTACAATACACTTGGTACCAGGAGTCAGGAAATCAGGAGATATATTTCACTTGGGAAGTCTGTAGTCAGAGACCTCTCCAGGTTACTGTGGAACAATGATGTCAGTTTGAGGGCTAAAGTGAGCTTGATTCAGGCCATTCTCTTCAGTCACTTTCTATACATCTCAGAGTTGGACAATGACTAAAGATGACAGAAGAATTACTGAAGTCTTTGAACTGTGATGTTTGAGAAGAGTTCTGACTATGCCACAGACTGCCAGAAGAACAAATAGATATGCCTTAGAAAAGATGCAGCCAGAGTGTTCCTTAGAGGCAATTATAATAATGTTTCATCTCACATACTTTGGGCATATTGCTAGAAGAGACTATTCTTTGGAAAGGGACATCATCTTTGGAAAGCTTAAGGGATGGTGAAATAGAAGACAACCCTCAATGAGATGGATTGACATAGTGACTGCAGCAATGGACTTGAGTGTCAGAGACTGTGATGTTGGCACAGGATAGGACAGGGATCAGAACTGTTGTTCACAGGGTCACTATGAGGTGTACTCAGCTCAAAGACATAGAACCACCACCACCCCAGAGGGCATTTTTGATGTTCAGCCTCCATGCTTTCCCTCCCCTCCACTTCAGGCATAAGAGGATGAGGCAGACGTGCAGTAAAAAGAGAACACAGCAGGCCTGGAGCTGCTCCCTGAGGAAGGCCTGCTTCCAAGATTGACCCCTGCTGGTATCCAAAACTTGGCTGGTTGATAGTTCCCTATCCAGGTATCAAAGCTCCCCTGAGTGGCTCAAGGACTGTAGTGTTCAATATGGATTGAAGCTCAACATCAAGAAGACAGAGATTCTCACCACTGGGCCAATTGGCAGCACCATGATAGATGGAGAAGAGATTGAGGTTGTTAATAATTACAGCTTGCTTGGCTTCACAATCTGCACTCTCGGCATCAGCAGTCAGGAAATCAAAAGATGAGTTGCACTGGGAAAATCTGCTGTCAGGAACCTTTCCAGAGTACTGAGATGCAGTGATGTCAGTCTATAGACAAAGGTGTGCCTAATCCAGGCCACAGTCTTTACAATTACTTGCTATGTATCAGAGAGCTGGACAATGACTAAGAAGGCTAGAAGAAGAATCATTGTCTTTGATTTGTGGTGCTGGAGAAGTGTCTTGAACATACATACATGTCATGAACCACAAAGAACAAACAGGTCTGTATTGAAGAGGGTGAAACTGAGTTTCTCCTTGGAGGCTAGGATTTCAAAGCTCTCTCTCACATAATTTGGGCATGTGGCCAGGTGGAACCAGTCCCTGGAGAAAGACATCATTTTCAGAAGAGTGGAAAGACAGCACAAGAGAGGAAGACCCCAGATGAGAGGAACTGACACTGGTGTAATGGGAATAGGTGTATTAGAGTCAGACTGGACCAAGATAGGGCAGACTTCAGAGCTAATGTACATAAGGTCGCTATGAGTTACATGTGACTCAATGCCACAAAACAATATCAACAACTGGGTGGCTCACTCTGTCTAGACTGTATGAACCATGTGCTTATCCTGAACACCTGCTTTCCTTTCAGGAGTCTGGGATTTGAGTACACATAAGCTGAGGGTGCCCATGTGACCAGGAAGCAATGAAAATCTTGGGCACTGAACTTCCAGTAAGCTTCTCTGGGCAGAGGCACTGTGCACATTTCTGAGCTTTGTTGTTGGGCAGAGTGTGTTCCATGTCCTCCTCTCAGGAGGAAGAGCACATTGGGAGCCTGCAGGCATTCCTCCAGACTCTACCTGCCTCCTTCCCTTCTGATCCACCTGTGTGTCCTTATAACACTGGGGACATGAATCATGTACTTTACCTGCCTTAAATGAAAGGCAACAAAGATGAAGGCAGCCATGTACCCAGATTCACTGAGAAAATGTCTTTTCCAGAATTGCTTCCCCGTGGAGAGAAAGCACCCCTCACCTGTGATCCACAGGTGTATGGTGTTGCAGATGTCTGTCTTGAACTCGTGAGTGTTGAACCAGGACTGCGGGAAGCAGGCGCAGAAGCTGGTGTACAAGGCTTTACTCAGGAGGCTCGGCAACCTCTGGGGGCAAGCAGAGCTCAGTCAAGGTTCCTGATATTTCCACACCCCAGAAGAGAGCCCTGGACCTCAGAAAAGACTAACAAAGAGGGACAAGTCTAATAATTATTGGAAGCCTACTGTGTACGCCAGGGATGTGTCCTGTCTCCATGCCTTTTCAACCTGTATGCAGAGCAGATTATCCGAGAGGCTGGGCTCTATGAGAAGTGTGGTGTCAGGATTGGTGGAAGATCTATTAGCAATCTGCGTTATGCAGATGATACAACCCTGCTTGCTGAAACTGAGGAGGTCCTCATGCACTTGCTACGGATGGTCAAGGACTGCAGCCTTCAGTATGGACTGAGGCTCAATGTCAAGAAGACCAAGATTCTCACCACTGGGCCAATTGGTAGCATCAGGATGGATGGTGAAGAGATTGAGATTGTTCACAGCTTCAGCTTGCTCAGATCCACGGTCAACACTCTTGGCACCAGCAGTCAGGAAATCAAAAAACTTTTGTGATGGGAAAGTCTGCTCTTAGGGACCTCTCTAAAGTACTCAAGAGCAATGGTGTCTCTCTGGAGACCAAGGTGCGCCTGATACAGGCCATGGTCTTTGCAATCATTTGTTATGCATCAGAGAGTTGGACAATGACTAGGGAGGACAGGAGAATTGATGCCCAGAACACTTGATCATGCTAATGCGAAACCTATACTTGGACCAGGAGGCAGTCGTCAGAACAGAGCAAGGGAACACGGCATGGTTCAAAATTGGGAAGGGCGTACGCCAGGGATGCATCTTATCTCCATACCTTTTCATCCTATATGCAGAACAGATTATCCGGGAGGCTGGGCTCTATGAGGAGAATTGTGGCATCAGGATTGGTGGAAGATCTATTAACAATCTGCGTTATGCAGATGATACAACCCTGCTTGCTGAAATTGAGGAGGTCCTCATGCACTTGCTACGGATGGTCAAGGACTGCAGCCTACAATATGGATTGAGGCTCAATGTCAAGAAGACAAAGATTCTCACCACTGGACCAATTGGCAACATCAGGATGGATGGTGAAGAGATTGAGATTGCACACAGGTTTAGTTTGCTTGGCTCCACAGTCAACACTCTTGGCACCAGCAGCCAGGAAATTAAAAGGCACATTGCCATGGGAAAGTCTGCTGTTAGGGACCTCTCAAAAGTACTGAAGAGCAATGGTGTCTCTCTGGAGACTAAGGTGCGTTTGATACAGGCCATGGTCTTTGCAATCACTTGTTATGCATCAGAGAGTTGGACAATGACCAAAGAGGATAGAAGGAGAATTGATGCCTTTGAGCTGTGGTGCTGGAGAAGAGTATTGAGAATACCATGGACTGCTAGGAAAACAAACAGATTTGTCCTGGAAAGGGTTAAACCGGGTGACTCCTTGGAGGCAAAGATTCTGAGGCTCCGTCTGACATACTTTGGACATGATGTGAGGAGAGACCGGTCCTTGGAGAAGGATATCATGCTTGGGAGGGTGGAGGGACGGCGAAGGAGGGGAAGGCCCTCTATGAGTTGGATTGATTCAGTGACTGGGGTAATCGGGATGGGAGTGTCGGAGACAGTGCGACTGGCACAGGGCAGAGCAGAGTTTAGGGCTGTTGTACATAGGGTCGCTATGAGTCGCTAGCGATTTGATGGCACACAACAACAACAACAACAGGTACGGGAGCATAGGGGTCATGTGTGACCTCATGGAATTGTTTCATGTTGGGGATGTTGTTGAGGGAACAAATTCCTCTTGTGGATTTATTGAAGGTCAGACGCAGCCATCACAAGCCACTCCGACTCATTTTACAATAATACATCATTTGACTTCCTGATTCTGCTTCCATAGCATTGATTGTGGATCCAATTACAACGAAACCCTTGCCAACTTTAACCTTTTCTACATTTATCATGCTGCTTATTGGCCCAATTGTGAGGATTTTTCTTTTCTGTGAAGGTGTGGTCCACACTAAAGGTTATAGGCCTTGATCTTCTTCAATAAGAGCTCCAAGTCTTCACTTTCAGTAAGCAAGGTATCGCATCCATATTCCCTCAATCCTGAGTCAATATTCCTCCTCACTTAATTCCAGTTTCTCAGATTATTTGTTCAGCATACTTGCTGTAGAAGTACAGTGAAAGGATCCAATCCTGATATATACCTTTCATCATTTTAAATCATGGAGAATCTCCTTGTTTTGTGTTTTGTTCCCCTATACCCCCTTTTTCTATATTAATGACTACCTTGGTCCATTCAGGTGCCAAACAACTGTAATTAAGTGTTCTAGAATCCCTATTCTTCACTATTTTAGCCAACATTTGTTATGATCCACATGCTCAGATGCCTTCACATAGTCAACACAACAGGAAAGCATCCTTCTGGTAATCTCTGCTCTCAGCTAAGACTCATCTAACATAGGTAATAGCATTGTTTGTACCGCGTCCTCCTCTCAATTTCTGGCAGCTCCTTGTTGACAGGCTGCTTCCAGGCTATGTCAGACTGGGAAGAAGGATCCGACAATTTACTTTTGAAAACACTGGCCAGTGAAAGCTTTATGGGAAGGCAGTGAACATCTAACAATTACCATTCCATTTTTCAAGATTCAAAACCTAAGTTGATCAACTTCTGAAAGTCTTTCTTTCTAGGTCTCAGTTCAGTACCTGAACATAGCAAGCCGTCGACAGGAATGTGTTGTCTAACAAACTACATCTGACAGCTCGCTTCCTCCTGCTCCAAAGGGAAGCAATTTCTCCTTTATGAGCACAAACAGCTCCCCAGAGAGAACCACTGCTGAATTTGCTAATTTTATTCCACTTTTTTTCTACTTATAGGAACACATAAGCAAGGAACTCTGATGGCGTGGAGCCCTGCTAACTAAAAAGTCAGTGGTTCAAATCCACCAGCTGCTCCACAGGAGCAAGATGGGCACTGTCCTGCTGTAAAAGATTTCCAGCAACCTGATGGAGGGTCCCCGTGAGAAGAAATCTATTCAAAGGCAGGAGGCTGGGCTGGGTTGCTTAAGTACACATTGACAAATTCTGTTCTTAAAGAGGGATGAATGAACACAGTTGCATAAATGCTTTTTTGCGCTCATATTATAACATTTCATCTTCCCCATCACTAGATACTAATCAATCTTATTTTTAAAGTAAGTGCTGCATTTCACAGCAGTAGACGGGTAAATCACAATTGTTAACCGATCCATTTGGAAAGGAGTTTCTACTGGAGTCCGTCTTCAGAAAGCCAGCTGAAAGCTAGAGAGGCAGGTGTCTAGAGGAAGATTAACTAATGTGATTCTTTGTTGCACAATGATGGATGCTCACTTTTAAGAGCACCTCTTCGTAGTGGGACCTGGGTTCCTTCAGTAAAAGTTGGGCATAGTTTCTGGCTATCCGGTCAAACAGCTTATACTGGATCTCTTTGTTTGGCTATCAAGAACAACAAAAAAAAATAGTGCAACAATGAATGAATGAAAACCCAAAATCTCTGTAAATGTTCACTAAAATTAATAAAATTTAATAATTAAAAAAAGAACAAAAAAGAAGAAAAAGAATTATTAGAATTCCTTGTTGAAACAGCCAAAGGGTCGGAATTCATAAGTAGGAATTTCATTTTTAGGAAGCTTATACTCAAGATAGTGGAGCTCTGGTGGCCTAGTAGTAAGAAGCTGCACTGCAGTCCTGAAGTCATGCAGTTTGAGGCCACCAGCTGCTCCACAGGAGAAGGATGGTCAGTCTCCTCCCACGTGGTTAACTGCCTCTGAAAACCCACCAAAGAGTCAGCTATGGGTGGGTTCTGGCTCTATGGTACTCAACAACAACATACTCAAGATTCATAACCCCATATACCTTATGAAAAAAATAGACTCCTTTGTTTTAAAGAGTATACAAAGTGCCCCCCCCACACACACACACACACGCACCCTGCAGCTGAAGAGCGAGCCCTGACACTGGACCAGGAAACTTTGGGCTCTCTGTCCTCAGCCCTGCCCTAGACCAGCTGCCTTAAATGAACCAGTTCCTAAAGCTCCCAAGAAAGGCATGAGCGCTCATATGAAAACGTACAGCAGCGGCGAGCTCTGGTGGTGTAGTGGCAAGAAGCTGCACTGTAATCCCAGAGGTGCATGGTTCAAATCCACCAGATGCTCTGCTGGAGGAGGGACAATCTCCTCCTGTTACCAGTCAGATCTGATTTGACAGGACACACACACACACACACACACACACACACACACACACGCAGCCTACTGGCTAATCCCCCAGAGCACGGCTCCGTAAGTGCTGCTGGCTCTCCTTCCAAACCACATCCCTCATCTCATAGCTAGAGTAAGCAGGAGGTGGACCAGCCTGGTACTTACTTGAGTGCATTGACTTTGCTGTCAGATGGCCTGGGCTCAATTCTCAGCTTTAAGATTTTGGACAAGTTATTTAACTCTTGTATGTCATTTCCCATATGCAAAATGGAACCTACTTCATGAAGTTGATGGCAGATTTAATGTATTCATCTATATTTAACCAAATCCCTCACAACTGATCCAAAGGTAACATCATGTTAAATGGAGAAAAGCTTGAAGTTGTCAACAATTATGTTTTATAGTCAATATCTATGGTAGCAAAAGTCAAGAAATCAAAAGGGATATGTTGCATTTGGTTTATCTGTTAACAGGGAATTCTATAAAATGTTAAAGAACAAAGATGTCAGTTTAAGGACTAAGGTGTACCTGTCCCAAGTCATGGTACTTTCTGTTGTGATATATGCATCTGAAAGGCGGACAATGAATAAGGAAGACTGGAGAAGAAATGACGCCTTTGTACTGGGCGTTGGTGGAGAGTACTGACTATCCTATAGTCTCACAAAACAATAAACAAATCTGTCTTGGAAAATGTGCAACCAACATGCTCCTTATAAGCAAGGATCATGACACTGTCTCATCTACTTTGGACGTGCTGTTAGGAGAGGCCAGTTCTTGAAAAAGGACACGCTTGGAAAAGTAGGGGTCAGCCATGGAGAAGAAGACCATCAAGGAGATGGATAAACAGTCACTGCAGATACAAGTGACAAAGAGACAAAGAGAAATCAGAGCAAGCCATTGAGCAGCTGGTGAGGAGGACAGAGAAGTGGAAATGTGCGGACTGGATCAATCCAATGCACTTTTTTATTTTTTAAATTGGATTCATAATGGTCCTTAATGTGTAACTGGTGATGATGAGGGGATCTGCACCTTTCTTAGAACACACACATAAAATAAACCCCCCACCCCCACCCAGGCCGGTATCTGCTCTCCTGTCTGCTTCACCTTCCACTCTCTTCTTCACCCACCCTGCCAGCCTCCAGGGCATTCTTTGAAAAGCTCTCTGAAAATGCTACACTCTTTCCATCCTTGGAGACTTAGACCCCAATGCTCCTCTTAACTGGAACATTCTTCCCAAGATGTTCATAGGACTGGACCCTTTGGTTTCAGAGCCCCAAAGAGACTGCATGCTCAGCCACCACCATGCTAAATCCAAAATCCAAACTCATGGTTGATTCCAGCTCAAAGCTACTGTACAGGAAGGACAGAGCACAGGTGCCCCGTTAGGTTTCTGAGTCTGTACATCTCAATGGACCACAATGCTCGTCTTTCCCCCTCAGAATAGCTGATGAGTTTGAAACGTCAACCGCTTGGTTACTAGTCCGATATTTAATCCACAATGTTCCTTCATTACTACAGTACTGTTAGGTGCTGTCAAGTTGAGTATGACTCTTAGTGACCCTATGAACAATCGACCTGAGCCCCACCTAGCCTGTGCCAGCCTCATTATCCCTGACACACTTGAGCGCATCGCTGCAGTCACTGCATCTCATTGAAGATCTTCCTCTTTCGCTGACCCCCCCACCTTTCCAAGCATGGTGTTCTCTAAGGAACAGCCTCTCCTAACAACATGCCCAAAGTATGTGAGATGAAGCTTCACCGTCCGTGCCTCCATGGGACACTCTGGCTGCACTTTCTCCAAGACCTGCTTGTTGTTTTGGGAGCCCATGGGATATTCAGTACACTTCTCCAACACAAGTTAAAGGCATTGACCTCTCTCCTGTCATCCTTATTCACTGTCCATCTCTCAGATGCACAGCAGCTGATTTGAAAGACTATGGCTTGAATCAAGCACACTTTACTAACATCCCTGCTCTTCAGGACTCTGGAGATGTCCCTGACTGCAGAGTTTCCGTACCATACATCTCCACATCTCCTGACTGCTGATACCAAGGGTGTTGATTATGGATCCAAGCAATATGAAACTGTTGACAACTTCAAACTTTTCTCCACCTAACATGATGCTGCCTATTGGCCAGTAGGGAGGATTTTTGTTTTCTGATGTTGATTGAGATGTATTCCATATTGAAAGCTGCAGTCCTTGATCTTCTGCAGCAAGCATTTCAAGACCACCTTGCTTTCAGCAAACAAGGCAAGGTTGTGTCATCTGTTGTTAATGAGTCTTCCTCAAGTCCTCAATGCCACACAGGTCTTCTTCATAAAGTCCAGCTTCTTTAATTATTTGCTCACCATACATATTGAATAGGTATGAAGAAAGGACACAGCCCTGACGCACCTCTCTCTTGGATTTAAACTATGCAGTGTTACCTTGCTCTGTCTGCACAAAAGCTTCTTGGTCTAAGTACACTGTTGTTGTTGTTTCCTGTTGAATCAGAACCGACTCTTAATGAACCTTCCAGTGGGTTTTCAGAGGCAGTAAATCGCACTGGAGGAAACTGCTCATCATTTTCCCCCAGAGCAGTGGGTGCATTTGAACCTCTCTCTGTCATGGGTGCCCCGAGAGTGGGCTCCGGTCTCCTCTTCACATCCTCTCTGGAATCTGGGCCTTCTATGGGCCACTGGTGGTCCCTGTACTCGGCAGCACCGCCTGGTGTGTTGTTACCCTTTCCAGCAGGCTCTTTCTATACGACACGCAGAACCTAATCAAGCGTGCAGAAATAGCTCTGACGCACAGAGCTCAAAAATATAATCCCATCAACTCAAAGATGAGAACCTACGTGGACTCATTAAATATATTTATTCGAGTTGCCGGCTTGCTAGCAACTGGAGGCAACAGAAGGCAATGAAGTGACTCAGCTGCTGGCTTCTCTGACACATTCGCTATTGGGCTCGTTCAGTTGAGCCGATACTCAATAAACGGTTTGTGCAGGCGGTGCGCCTTGATGTTCCAAAGAACAGAACATGCCAACAGGTTAAAAACGTCCCCTTATAATGTGATGCATCAGCTCTGCTTTTCTTCCTGGAAAAGAACGTCTCTTTCAAATAAATACATTTCCAATTGCCACCCTTGAATAACTGTAAAATGGGTTTTTAATGGCAATGTAAGTAAGAGAATTTAAACAGTTTTCTCTATTATGAGAACATGAGAATTTGAATCTTCTATATATTTTTTAAAATCTAGTTCAGTGAAAATTAGCCAACAGGTTAAAAAAAAAAAGGAGAGAGGCTAATAAAAATAGTGTTAGGCCTTGGGTAGATAGTTGGACAACAGCAGGTCCCTAGAATCTCTTCCAAAATGGGGATTTGTTGGCCATTTGCTTGGGAAATACGGTACTACAATCCAACCTTTGTCACATACAAGTGTGAGGAAAGCAAGGCAGCTGAGTTCTAGAAGGTCTAATGTGAAGGCCAGAGGTTCTCAGGCTAGGGAGAAAATTTTCCAGCGTGGAGAATGGCCAGTTCCAGAGAGGAAGCTGCCAGAAAAGGAGGGGGTGGGGAGAAAAGCACCACACGGTTCTGAGAACAGGTCCAGGCTGCCCTCACCCAGCACACCTTCACCGTGAGCCCTCACAGACCAGAAAATGCACAGCCTGCAGCTGTTTTTACAAGAGAACTGGAGATACTTGGGCTAGGAAAACAAAACGAATAATGAACGAGGCCTTGGGCTTCAAAAAAGCTCTGTTCTAGTAGGGAAAGGGAGCCACTGGGGCACACATAAAGGAGATGTGGTGATGCACTGAATGAAACATTGGGCTGCTAACTGGAAGGTCACCTGTTCAAACACTCCATAGGAGAAAGGTGTACAAATCTACCCCCATAAGGAGGTACAGAGTCGGAAACCTTGAGGGCCAGTTCTTCTCCGTCCCATGGGGCAGTTCTAGGAGTCAGAATTGCTTGATTACAGCAGGCTTGGGGCTGATTTTGAGGACAGCTCATAAGGCACCTGGTGCAGAGTGTCGCAGGCAGACAGCAGCTGTGAGGGCACAGTAGTGGGGCCGAGGACTGGCTAGAGTGGTGGCCACGGAGGGTTCCCCATGCCCCAGTGGAGCAGAAAGAGGGAGCCTGACATCCGGGCTGAGTGTTAAAGGTGAACAGGGATAGTATAGAGATAAAAAGCGGTTCCAGGCACATGGGTGGAGAGAACACATCATCGGGAGAACAGGAAGATGCTGTGTATCGGGCAATGCTACACAGAAGGGGTTTCGGGGCCTAAGGGACTTACAGCTCACATTACAGAAGATGAAATTTGTTCTGCTCAGAGCTCAAGAAGTGGAGAGAAAATCAGATTTCTACTTACCTGGTACCGTTCATGAAAGATCCACCAGAAGCTATCCAGCAACATGGCTCGTGTGTAAGGAGAAGAGAGAAACTTCAATTCTTCACATGCGCAGAAAGACTTTGAAAAGAAGTAAAACACATTTGATTGTTTCTGGGGTTACTGCTGAGTTTCTGAAATCTACATGGAATCCTGACAAGAATTATTACCACCTGCACTCAAAACCTCTCTAAAAAAAAAAAAAAAGCCCCTCATGAAAAATAAACCTCTCCTCCATCCCATGGTCTAGATAATAGTATCGACTTCCAAATAGTTCTCTTTGGAGTCCATGTACTGTGAAATGCTCCTAGCAAACATAGGTATACAAACTCTAGGCTTTTCACATAATTTCATTTAACCCCTACAATGCTTACACGAGGCATTATTATCTCCATTTGACAGATGAGAAAACTGAGGACCAGAGAGGTGAAGTAACTTAAAAGCCAGCAAGTGGCTGCGCCAGGACTGGAAGCCCTATCTATACAGATGCTCTATGATGGCTACGCTAGCTCTCAGCTCCTATCATTCAACTAACATGAACAAATATGGGACCCTGGAGGACATTATGCTGAGTGAAATACCTCAGTCACAAAAGGACAAATACTGCATATGTCACTGTTATAAAATAGGATTGACATGGGGATTGGGGGAAACTAAGAAAAGAGGGGATAAATAATGAACACTACATTGGGACAGATGAGGGAAAGAACTGTTTAAAAGGAATATCTGATTAGGCATTATTTGTATGACAACAGTACAAAATAAGAGGTGCATAGCCAAGTGGACTGGGGTGCTGGGGACAGAGGAAGTTGTGCAACAATGAATGAATTTTTTTAAAGAGAAAAGTGAACTGGGGAGGGATAGGGAGGAAAATGTAACAAATAAATAATAGTATATATGAATGATTGTGTAAAACCCACACACAAAAGAATACCTCCGATTTAAAAACTGGGTATTATTTAAAGAGTCACTAGACAGTAAGACTCTACTGACTTAGTTATAAGTAAATGGAACTGTGAAGTCTCTGGGTGCTGCATACAGTAATAAGCTTGCCTACTAACCAAAAGGTTGGTGGTTTGGATCAACCCAGAGGCACCTCAGAAGAAAGGCCTGGTGATCTACTGTAGTTAGGTGCCAGTGAGTCAGCTGCAATTCCCTACAGTAACTGGAAAACAGAACACTGCACAGCCCTGCGCCGTTCTCAGCACTCCTACATCTGAGCCCCGTGTTGCTGCTACCACGTGAATCCAGCTCATGGAGCACCTTCCTCTTTTTCATGAACCCTCAGTTTTGCCAAGCGTGAGGTGCTTCTGCTGGGAATTTCTGATAATGTGTCCAAAGCAGGAGAGACGAGGTCTAGGATCCTCCCTGCTAAGGATCATGATAACTACTTCTTCCAGGACAAATTCATCTGGCCATCCAGCGAGAGCTCCTTGTGAAAGACCAGCGACTGCAGACCTCAGATAACCCAACTGTACTGGAACACACATGGGGCACAGGTTGTTGTTGTTATGTGCCATTGAATCGCTTGTAACTCATAGCGACCCTATGTACAGTAGCCCTAAACCCTGCTCTATCCTGCGCCAACCTCACTGTCTCTGACACACTCACTCCCACCACCCCAATCATAGAATCAATCCATCTCATCAAGGGTCTTCCTCTCCTGTACTGTCCCCAACATGATGACCCTCTCCAAAGACCGGTCCCTCCTTGCCCAAAGTATGTCAGACAAAGTTTCAGAATCCTTGACTCCAAGGAGCAGCCCGGATTCAGCCTCTCCAGGACAAACCTGTTTGTTCTCCTAGCAGTCCATGGTATATTTAACACGCTTCTCCAACACCACAGCTCAATTTTCTGTCATCCCTAGTCACTGTCCAACTCTCTGATGCATGTAATTATCAGAGAATCAACTTCAGAAACTTCAGCTTCACAGCATCTGGCTTTTTACTATAGGATTCTAGAATGAAATGTTGTTATGTGTTAACTGCAACTCACAGTGACCCAGTTTACAAGTGGAAACCTTGTTGGTCCCGAACCATCCTCAGACCCTCTGCTGGGCTCAAGTCTCTGTGTCAATTCTTCTTGTTGAAGGTCTTCCTCTCTTTCACTGACCCTCTATTTCCCCAAGTATGATGTTCTTTTCCAAGCGCTGACCCCTCCGGACTTGCCCAAAATATAAGATGAGGTCTCATAATCTTTATTTTTAAGGACAGTTGGGCTGCATTTATTCCAACAAAGATTTGTTTGTTCTTTTGGCAAAAGAATATTGAATACTCTTCACCAGCACCACAACTCCAAAGCAGCAATTCTTTTAGTCTTCCTTATTCATTGTCCAATTTTCACAGGCATACAGAACAAATGAAATCATAGCCTGGGGTAGGTACATTTTAGTTTTTAAATAAAATTCTCACTCTTTTGCACTTTAAAGAGATCCCTCCCTGGCAGTAGAGATGCCCAATGCGATATGTCATTTGATTCTTTGACGGCTGCTCCCAGGCTGCTGTTTGTAGATTCAAATGAAATGAAACCCTGACAACGTCATGCTTTTCTCCATCTATCCTGATGCCGCGTCCGGGTGCACAGAGACAGAGTGATGAGGTTCCAACGTCCTACACCCGGGACACTGACACCACTGACTGGCTCGGACCTCATAGCGGCTGCCACTGTTGTTAGCTGCTGTCAAGCTGGCTCTGAGTCTCGTGACTTATGTAAAATAGGATGACAGGCTGCCCCGTTCTGCCCCTCTTCACAAGCTCTGCTCCATCTGAGTCTCTTGTTTCAGCTACCACGTTAATCCACCTCACGGAGGGCCTTCTGAGCCTCCTCCAACCCTCCACTTCACCACTGCTTTCTTAGAGACCAGTCTCTCCTGATGCCGTGGCCTAGCCAAGCCGAGGGCTCACCATCCTCACATCGAAGCAGCATTCTGGCTGTACTTCTGCTAACACTAAATTTGAGTCTTGACCTTTAAAACTCTACAATTACCAGGCTAGCAAAATGTTACCTTTATTAAGCAAAGACCAGGAATTTTTCACTGGGCTGTGAAGGTCAAGTGCAGACAGGAGACACTACACAGGCTGCCTCTGCTCTGACTAGAAAGAGCAGAGAGCCTCGCTGTCATTCCTGGGCGTCAAGGGAAAGGCTCCTTGGCACATCCCGGGGAAGCTCAGACATCCTGCACAGCTAAGCATGCTGTCTTCACAAGCAGTCGGCCTCTGCCACCATTCCTCGAGGTTCTCTGTAGAGCTTACCAGCACAGACTGTGGTATCAAACTTCCAAGATTCAAATCCAGCGCTTTTCCTTACCAGCTGTGCAACTCTGAGCAAAGGTAATGAACCTCTCTGTGCCCACTTTCTTCATCCCAAACATGAAGACGTTGAAAACAGCGCCCTCCTCAGGAGCCGAGTGAGGACTGAGTGACGGAGGCGACACTCTCAGGAAGAGACCAGGCCATCAGTGCAGCTCTTCATCGGTCATTTATTCACAATGCTTCCTTTCAAGAAGGATTTTGTTTATCCTTGAGTAGATATCGGGCATCTCTGAGGTGCTCGGACATGGTGATGGAGAGTTCCTGCCCTCAAGGTGTTTGAAGAGAAAAGGATGTTTACCAACAGTTGGACAGGTGTCTTGACAGAAGGTATCCTGTGGACATGGCACCTGGGGGAGGCACTGATTTGTTCATGGGCTACTGGGCAAAGTTTTAAGAGTCAAACTAATTGGATGAGGAAAGGAGTGCCGGGAGCTCCTGAGAAAGGAGAAGTAATCACCGGGGTGGTGAGACCGCAGGACATACATGGGGCCTCCCAAGGGCTCCTGTGCAGCTCAAGGTCTGGGTGTGGGTGGCAGAGACCAGGCAAAGTTCAGGGGAACCTGGGTGCAGGGACAAAGAGTTATTCTGAAACTGGATGGGGAGAACAGTAGCTGATGGTGGTGGAATTTCAATAGGGCAGGAATGGGGTGAAACCGCTATTCCAGAAATATCCTCAGAAGCCGTGTGGAAGACATGAGAGGGGAGCAAGCAGAGCAGGCAAAGGAAAACCAAGCAGCAGGTGCAGGGATCAAGCAGGACACCAAGGGGCCTGACCTTGACTCTGGCGGCTGAAGGAGGAGCAACTGTGGTAGAAGCATCGGCTGAAGGAGGAGCAACTGTGGTAGAAGCATCAATGAGATCTTACTGTGGCAGCTTGTGTGTCACTCATGTTATGACACTGGTATGTCAGGCACTGGTCAGGTCACCACCCACGAGGAACAAGCTTCAGTGGAGCTCCCAGACTAGTGAAGAGGGTCTGGCAACATCCTTCTGAAAAACCTTACAGGTCGCCAAAGAAACTGTCCAGAGTAACGCTGGAAGATGACTCTCTCAGGCTGGGAGGCATCTGAATATGGTTGGGGAAGACCTGCCTGATCCAAGCAGAGTCCACTTGAATGACACAGACGGAATGATGCCTTTGGGGCTTTTGCTTGATGACATAAAATCACTCAAAATTAAAAAAAAATTTTTTTTAATCGCTCAAAATCTCTATGAAGGTACAGCTCTTCACATCCATCATATCAGAAATGCTTAGTATAAAAGACAGAATAAGAAGACCATCCTGGATGAGATGGGCTGAGGCCGGGGCTGCACTAGTGGGCTCCAACACAGACAGCCGTGAGGTGGGGGCAGGACTGGGCAGCACCTTGTTCTCTTTCTCCTAAGATTGCCGTGGAACTCTGGTGACCTAGTGGTAAGAGGCTGTGCTGCAATCCTAAAGGCACACGGTTCAAATCCACCAGCTGCTCTGTGGGAGGGGGATGGGCAATCTTCTCCCATGTGATTTACTGCCTCTGAAAGCCCACTGGAGGGTCAGCTATGAGTCAGGCTCGACTCGACAGCACACAACAACAACAGCAAGGTTGATAGGAGTTGGAGCTAACTGACCCCTGACAACAACAACAGGATCTCAATTGAAACCTGAAAGTGCTGCTCTGGGAGAAAGCTTACAGGCTTTGGAGCGAACCTCGGCTGGAATTCCAACCCTCAACTTGGTGCCTTGTGGGCTGTGTGAGCCGATTCCGAAGCAGTTTTCCTCAGGTGTAAAATGGGGATGGCGGTGTCTTCCCCAGACTGTTGTGAAGCTGGGGGAAAGCCAGGCCACTGGGTGCTGCTAATTGGGAGTCCCTTGTCCGTTTGTCCCTTTTCTTTCCTTACCTTGCCACTGAAGGGGTCGCTCTCACCCCGGATCACATTGGCCACCATGTCACAGACCTTCACCCCGTTCGGAAGCTTGTTTGGCACAGAGCTGTCAAACTCGGAGTATTCGTACAGCTCCACGAGCAGATTTTTATCTGCTGTTTTCTAAAAAAAAAAAAAAAAAGAGCAAAGAAAAAGAGCCTGAAAATGGGCTCCGTTATTTTGACCGTTTCAAACCTATCTCTTCCCTTTTTCACTGTGAAGGCAATTTAACAATCTTGTAAGGCTTCAAGTTCAAACCGACTCAGTGGCTCCACGGGCACAAGACCTGTGATCTGCTCCCAGAGAGACTGTTGCTGGATGTAGTAAAGTCAGTTCAGAGCCATCGCAACCCTCTGCACAAAGAGTAAAGCACCGCCTGGCCTGCTAGACTGTTGGTCCTGCAAAACTCTATCGCTCTATCTCTGTAGGGTTGACAGCCTACAAAACTTCACAGGAATATTGGACAAAGAATTGACAGACCACAACTGTAAAAAAGATGAGGTGTACTGATCTCATAGAGGCTGGTGGAACACCCCACCCCCAAGACTATGGGCCTAAGTCACCCTTCAAGCCTGGACCTGGTATCACTCCCACAGAGCAACTTCTAGCCAAACAACAGACAGGCCTAGAAAGTGATCAATAACACCAGGGAGAAATTCACTCCTCGGAAAAATCAACAAGATCAGAGGGGAGACCTGCCCAGGGATAAAGCTGAGAAAGCAGGAAGGGAGAGGACAGATGGATCTGGGAATCACAGCGGTGGAGTGGGAGGAGTGTTGCTGCAACATGAGAAACTGTGCTCAATGTCACAAAGCATAATGTGTGTAAATTGCTGGATTTGTTCTGTAAAGATCCCACTTAAATCACAATAGAACATTAAATGACACCCCCCACCATGATAGCAGGTCCACATCACACAGTATTCCTCATGTGAGGCAGAATGAATACAACAGCAACTAACAAAACACAGCACATGGGGTGCAATTATGGTCCCAGCACCCTCAATCAAACACCTATTTACATTACTTGTGGAATGAAATCTGTGAGCCAGAATTCAACGGCATAGACTTGTTTCTCCAGGTCTCTCAGGGTCCTGTGTGAAGTACAGTCTTATTTTCTGGGTCTCTCAAGGTCCTGTGTGAGGTCCAGTCTTACAACCTTATTTTCTGGATCTCACAAAGTCCTATTTGACAAGGTGCCACCTTAACACTTTTCTACTGCTCTCAATTAGAGGAAAAGACTTTGGGCTTCCTTATCTGATACGCTTCCATCTTGCGTGGGCTCCAGATTTCATCAGTTTTACCGTATTTTCCCTTTCAGTCTTTGAGCAAATCTATATAAGGCCTCCGAATCAGACAGCTTGATTCAGGTGTCAGCTCCATCCTGTACCAGCTGTGCCGCCTTGGGCAGGAGTCTTAAATGTCCTGGGTAACCATCAGGGAATGATTGAGGGTTAGAAACAGACTCTTAACTTTAAGCTCTCATGAAGTTTTAGAATTCCCTAGGCTAAAAAATGACAGGCCTTCGAAAACCCAGTGTACAAGAGAGCACACTTAGACTATCATTTGGACTAACATATATGGCAACTGAAACTGACATCTTAGAAATGGAAACCCAGAGAAAGAGGAACAGCTGCAAGGAGACACGAGTGATTGGAACATGGAACGTGAGAAGCATGAATGTAGGAAAACTGGACATTGTTAAGAAATGGAATGCATAAATATTGACATACTAGGCATTGGCGAAATGAGATGGCTTGGCATGGGACATTTTGAATCACATGATCATATGATTTACTATGCCGGGGATGAAAAGGTGAGGAAGAATGGTGTTGGTTTCATAATTAAAAAAGTCATTTCTAGATCTATCCTGAAATACAATGTGGTGAGCGACAGGATCATATCCATACGCATACAAGGAAGTCCACTGAATACCACTATCATTCAAATATATGCACCAACAATTAGAGCCAAAGAAGAGGAAATAAAAGATTTTTACCAACTTTTGCAGTCAGA